TTTGCCACTGATTAGAATTTTATAAATCCTGTCTTCCCAGAGAAAAATGTCCTTCACCTCATAATCATAGCTTGTTCATGTCAGTGCTTTTTGGCAGGATGTACATTTGTGAACGTTTCTGAGGCATATGAAGAGTAAAATTAGAGCAAATATTTCTCGTGAGCACCTTGAAAACTCATTAGGAATTGCAACTACTTTCACTGAATCAGACATTCTGCATTAGTTTCATAAGGAAAGATAAAATATTCCACTAGTTTTATGTCCATTGCCCTTTTTTTAATCTCATAGTAATAGAATAAAGGAAGTTTTGTTGCACTGACTACATTGTATGTTTCATATATGGCCCAAGACAATTCCTCTTTACTCAGTGCAGCCCAGATGAGCTGAAAGTTTGAACACCCATGCTTTAAATGTTAACAGTGCTTATGGTAGGACTAAATTACTTTCATAAAAGCAAATGTAGCTGGGGGTGGTGGCGCATGCCTGAAATTCCACCACTAGGGAGGCTGAAGCAGGAGAATTGCTGCGAGTTTGAAGCTAGCCTGAACTATATAGCAAGACCCTCCTCACAAAAAGAAATGTGTAGATTTAACACTTCTAAAATTCTGATTAATGTAAAATTCTTGATGACTTCTTCCCCTTTTGTTGGTACTGGGAATGGAACTCAGGACCTTGTGCTTGCCAGGCAGGTGCAGTGCCACTGAGCTACAGCCCCAGCCTTCTTGATGGCTTCTAAAACTTGAAACACATGAGTTTTTGCCCACCCCCCAAAGCTAAAGATGTAGCTCAGGGCACTTACATAGTATACATGACATGCTAGGTTCAATCCTCAACACCACAAACAAAAACCATACAGTTCTTCACTAACTTAATACCACAAATTTAAAATACTTGGCATTTATTTCTGACCAGATTAAATGGTACGCCTTTTCCTAGAATGAAGACCTTATTTAGGAGTGAGCTTGATTGGTCTCTCAATATTTATTTATTTTGTACTGTGGGGTGAATCCAGGGGAATGCTAAGCAAGCACTCTAACATTGAGCTATGTCACCCACTCTTCCACCCATACTTTTTTTTTTTTTGAGATATTCTCCCTAAATTTCCCAGGTTGGCCCCAAACTTGCAGTCCTCCTGCATTAACCTCTGTCAAGTAGCTTGGCCTCTTAATAGTTATAACACCAAGATTAGTCAGTAGTTGTTTCTTTTTAGTTCAGTAAACATTTATTATCTATAGAAATATTAATAACAATAGTTTTTTAGCACATACTAAATGAACACAAGTTACTATTTTAAATATTGTATGTATTATTTAATCCTTATGACACCACGAATGTACAGATTCCATTACTACTGCTAATAAATTGCTGATGTTTCAACTCTAGCTTTTGTAGCCAATGTTTACTTCCAGTCTTTACTGAGACATCATGTGGGGGTCTCCTCGAAGACAGATGGGGGCTAGAAGACTCTGTGCAATGAGAAAAAAGAAAAGAGGGACATGGGGGACCCAGAGCTGTATGAGACTAAGGGTATTTATTCTTTGAAGTGAGTACACTTTATACTGTTCTCAACAGGCAGATAAGCAAGGAACCAGACGCAGCTGCAAGGTTAAAAATGGTTGCTGGGAACCGATCATGCTTTAGGCAAATATTTTTAAAACACTGCGGCCTTGCTAATGATTTATAGATAGGCTCCCTCATGCTTTCTCAGGCAGCAGAGTGTCTCAAGGGCCTGTGTGCCCTCCGCCCTAATTCTCAACGTGCTGATCCGAGGGAACTGTAGTTTCCTTGTCCTGGCATGCCAAGGACCTGGGAGTCAGACACGTGATCATCAGGAGGAGAACAGCACGTCCCGAGACGACCTCTCACAATATCAATTAATAGCTTAACATGAACTCCCAATTATTTCTCTTTAAATAGTCTTCTTCTGGGAGTCTTTCTCAGCTTAATTCATGGCTGCTCCATCATTCAGTTGCTTGGGACCAAAACTTTGTAGCAACTCTCAACTCTTTTCATTTTTTAAAAATACCAACTTCCAGTTTTTCAGTAAATCCAAAGGGTTCTGTCTCCAAAACATCCAGAATTCTGTACTTCTAACATCTCTGTGGCTGCCATCTTGGTCCAAACCACCACCATGTGGCACTATAGCTTCCACTTAGTCACAGATTTTTCAAAATACTAGTCATATTTCTTCCTTAGTTGCTACCTTCAGATTACCCCATATTACTAGAGAAAAGTTCCAGCTCTATGACCTAGAATGCCCTGTTATGATTTGCCATCCCTTTAACTGTAACCAGTCTCTCCCTCTGTTTTCTTTTCTTTCTTTCTTTTTCTTTTTTTTACATTTTTACCAGTCTCTTGATCTTTTCCTCTCTACACTGATCACTATCTCCTGCTTATTTTTCTTTTCTTTTCTTTTCTTTTTGTGCTGGGGATCGTACCAGGGACTTTGCATTACCAAGGCAAGCAGTGGAACCACAGGCGCCAGAGCAACTGAACTAAATCCCCAGCCCTCTCTTCTTTTCTTTTCCTTTCTTTTCTAATTTTCCTTTCTTGACGAGGACTCACTATGTAGACCAGGCTGACTTTGAACTCACTATGCGCCCAGACTGGCTTCAAACTCACTGCAGTCCTCCTGCCTTAGCCTCCCAAGTGCTGGGATCACAGGTGTGTGCCACGGCATCTGGCTTATTTTTCAAATTTACTGTTTGTGGGGTGGGGGATTTAGCTCGGTGGCGCCGCCCCTGCCTCAGAAGTGCAAGGTCCTGAGTTTGATCCCCCGTACTAGGGGATAAAACCCAAACAAATCAAATTTAATGTTTTGCTGTTCACTCTTTCACCATAAGGCCTTGTTTTTTTCCTGCCCTCCTCCTCCTTCTTCTCCCCTCCCCCTTTCTTTCTAATTGAGACAGGGTCTCACTGTGTAGTTTACACTGCCCTTGAATTCACTGTGTAACCCAGGATGGCTTAAAACTCACAGGGATCTTTCTGCCTCAGCCCCCGGAGTACCGGGAGTACAGGTGTACGACACCAGGCCCAGCACAAAAGCCTTGTTTTCACTTGCTCTTCTCACAGAGATATCCACATGGCTCTCTCCCTCAGAGTGTACAGAACTTCTTTGAGATCTTCCTTGTCACCTTCTGAATGAGGCCTCAACTGGTCACACTTACACATGCTCTCATATGTCTGTCTCCCTTGCCCACCTTATTTCCTAAATAACATCATCACTCTGGCATATTTTATGAACTTACTGAGTATGAGGGCAGGTATATTTGTTTATCCACTGCTATGTCCACAGAGCTAGGGTAGTACCGGATACTGAGTAGGTGCTCATTTTTTCTTTTCCTTCCCTTTCCTTTTTTTTTTGGAGACAACAGTCTTGCTGTGTAGTTCAATCTGGGCTTGAACTCGCTGTGCAGCCCAGGCTGTCCTCGAGCACGCTGCAGTCCTCCTGCCTCAGCCTCCTGAATGCTGGGATTACAGGTCTGTGCCACCATGCCCAGCCTCCTTTATTTTCCTCTCCCCTCCCCTCCCCTTCATTTCCTGTGACAGGCTTGTCTTGAACTTGCAGTACTCCTAGCTCAGCTTCCCGAGCAGTGGGCTTATAGACATGTGTCATCATACCTGGCTCGATCTCTGTTGCATGAACAGATTTATAACCCTCTGCTCCATGAATGAGAACCTGGGGGCTCCAAAGGGCCCAACTGATGCTACTGTTGTGACGTGTGGGTTTTACTTGTCACCCTGCATCGTATTGCCCCTCCACTTTCAGCCTCCTGCTTGGCATTTGTGTAAAATTAAGATTATAGAAAACATGTTCTTAATTCCCCTCCCTTTTTAGGAAAAAAATAATATATTAGTTTGGGGGGTTTTTGGTACCAGGGATTGAACTCAGGACCTTGCATTTGCGAGGCAAGAAGTGGAACCACTGAGCTAAATCCCTAGCCCAATATATTAGTTGGGTTTTTTTCTTTTTTTCCAATATATTAGTTTTTAAGTGGGCAATCTGTAAAATGGAATAAAAATTTTTCCTTGCTCTATTTGGATTGACAGGTGATTCATGCTAAAACTGATGAACAGAGATGCAGACTTCAGGAAACTTGCGAAGATATTCTTCTTTTCGAAAATCTTGATCAGGTAATATTGATTTTTAAAACATTTTTGTTATAATGGTCTTTCAGCTTTTTTCCTGTTTGTCTTTTGAAGAGTTTAGGCATGAGTCAGGGATTTAGCTCAGTGGCACCGCACCTGCCTCGCAAGTCCAAGGTCTTGAGTTTGATCCCTGGTACCAAAACCAGAAAACAAAAGTTTAGGCATGAAAGTTTAGGTTCATTTTATGTTACAAATTTTTTTTTTTTTGGTATCGAGGATGAAACTCAGGACCTTGGACTTGCGAGGCGGATGCGGTGCCACTGAGCTAAATCCCTGGCTCCTACCAATGTTTTTATTGTGTTGACCACTATACCAGGGGGATGAATTTTTACATGTCTTTTAGTATTTTTCTGATATGCTTTGGCATTTCCTCCAAGTTCATACTAGTAATTTGAAAGCCATGAGATTTTAGTTATGCCAAGAGATGCTCAAGTTTGAAGGGTCTGAATGTTGCTTAGTTTGGAGGGTCTGAATTTATGTTGCAAAGGGATTGATTTCTTCAAAGATACTGCTCCTTCTGTAAAGATACTGCTCTTCACCCATAGCAGTTAACCCACTGAAGTGTGTGATTGCTTCTCATTCCTCATATGGGGCACCTCTTACAACTGCTTCTCAGTGAAGACTTTAGATACAGGTCACTTCTTGTAAGTCATATATGTCTACACAACTTGAGAGGATCTGTGGCTTAACTTGTCCTCCTCCTCTTGGTGATAGAAATAGAGAGCAAGTGCTACATCCAAGGACAGGTGTCCTAGTTCATTCAAGGCTGTTATAACAAAATACCATAAACTACATGGCTTATAACAGCAGAAATGCATTTCTCACAATTGTAGAAGCTAGAAAGCCTAAAGGTGGCAGCACATTTGGTGTCTGGTGAGAAGCCCACTGCCTGGGTCATAGACAGCCATCTTTTCTCGTTGTCCTCAAAAATTGGAGGAAAGAGGGAGCTCTGTAGGGTCACTTTTGTAAGGGCATTAATCCCATTCATGAAAGCTCCACTCTTATGATCTAATCACTTCTCAAAGACCATGTGTCCTTGTACTGTCACACTGGAAATTAGGTTTTAACACAGGAATTTGGGGGGAACATAAACATTTTTCCTGTGACAATAGGAAATCTTCAGATTCTACTTTGAAGGACATACACTAAAAGAGCCACATGAATGAGTAAGATGCTGGGCCACACAGAATGTGCATAGACAAGAAGAATGGGATTAGAATCTCCTTACTACCTAGCTTCTAAGAAAAACTTCTTTTCTTTCTCACAACTCCTTTTTTCCTTCCATTCTCTGTGTTTTCCTTGTCCTTTCTTTCCTTTTCCCCTTCCCTCTTCCTTGTTCCCTGACTCATTTGAACATTTTCTTCCCATTTGCCAATATCTACTATACATTTTGGTCCTTATTTGCACTGTCAGTTTCTCACACCAGAGAAACAATCTGGTATTTAAGTGTCCAATTTATCTCACTTAAGAGTATGGTCTGAAGGTGCATCCATTCAGCCAGAAATGTCTCAAGCTTATCCTTCTTTATGGCGGAGTACTACTGTACTGTATAAAAAAAGACATCTTCTTTATCCATTCATCGGTTGATGGCCATTTGGACTGTTTCCAAGATTTAGCTATTACAAACTGAGCTGCTATAAATACGAGTGTCTATATATCGCTGTGGTGTGATGCTTTTAATTCTCTCAGGAAGATACCAGGAAGGGGAATAGCTGGGTGAAATGGGACTTCTACTTTTAGTTTTTGAAGGAATCTCCACACTGATTTCCACAGTGGTTGCACCAGTCTACACTCCCACCAACAGTGGAGAAGGGTTCCTTTTTCCTCACAGTCCCATCAGCATTTGTTATTGGTTGATTTCTTGATAATAGCCATTCTTTCTGGAGGGAGATGAAGTCTCAGTGTTTTCATTTGCATCTCTCGAATGACCAGTGATGGTAAACTCTTTTTCATATAGTCATTTGCCATTTGTACTTTTACATCTGAGAAATGTCTGTTCATTTCAGATGTCCACTTTGGGAATGGGTCTTTAAATCGGGGAGGGGAGGTCCTGCTTTGAGTTCTTTATATATTCTAGATATTAGTCCTGTGGGTCATCTGTTCACTCTGTTGGTGGTTTCTTTCTCTTTTTTGGGGGGGCGGTACCAGGGATCAAACTCGGGACCTTGTGCTTGTGAGGCAGGTGGCAGAACCACTGAGCTAAATCTCCAGCCCCTGTTGGTGGTTTCTTTTGCTGTGCAAAAGCTTTTTAATAAGGTGAGACCCTAGTTGTTGATTCTTTGTGATATTTTCTGTGCAGTCAGGGTTTTGTCCACAAAGTCTTTGCCTACAACAGTGTCTTCAAGAGTTCACTGTATCTTAGGGCCAGGGATTTAGCTCAGTAGTTCTGCTGCTTGCCTTGCAGCAAGCGCAAGGTCTTGAGTTCGATCCCCGGTACCAAAAAAAAAAAAAAAGAGTTCACTGTATCTTCCAGCAGATTTAGTGTGTCTGTTCTTTTGGTTTTTTTGGTATCAGGGATTGAATGCGGAACCTTGTGCTTGCAAGGCAGGCACTGGAACCACTGAGCTAAATCCCTGGCCTAGTGTGTCTGTTTTAGTATTTAGTTTCTTTCTTTCTTTTCTTTTTCTTGGTACTGGGGATCAAACTTGGGTCCTTCTGCTTGCAAGGCAGGAGGTGAAACCACTGAGCTAAATGCCCGGCCCTGTTTTAGTATTTAGATTGTTGATCCATTTTGGTTTGAGTATACTGCATGGTGAAAAATATGGATCTGGTTTTAATCTTTGGCATGTTGAAGTCCAGTTTTTCCAGCACCATTTATTAAAGAGGCTATCTTTCTTCCAGTGAGGGTGTTTGGCTCCTTTGTCAAAGATGAGGTGGCTGAGTATGTCTGGAGTTGTTTCTGCATCTTCTAATCTGTTCCACTGATCCTCTCGTCTGTTTTTTGCCAGTACCATGCTGTTTTTATCACAGCAGCTTTTAGTATACTTTCAAATCAGGGAGTGTGATGCCCTCTGCTTTGCCTTTGTTGTACAGAATTGCTTTTGCCATTCTAGACTTCTTCTGGTTCCTAATGAAGTTTAGGATTGTTTTCTCCAATTCTGTGAGATATGCTATTGGAATTTTGATTGGGATTGCATTAAATCTATGTAACAATTTTGGAAGTATGGCCGTTTGCACGGTATTGGTTTTTCCTTTTCAAGAACAAGGGATTTCTTTCCATTTTATGAATCCTCTTTGATTTCCTTTTTCAGAGTGTTGTAGTTTTCCATGTAAAGGTCTTTTATTTCCTTTATTTGATTGATTCCCCAGTATTTAAATTTTTTGGATGCTATTATGAAAGGTGTTATTGTCCTAATTTCTCTCTCAGTAAGTTTGTTATTCATGTACAGAAATGCTATTGATTTTTGAGTATTGGCTCTGTATCTAGCTACATTACTGAGTTTGGTTATTAAATCTAGAAGTCTTTTGGTGAAGGTTTTGGGATCTTCTATGTAGACTATCATATCATCCACAAATAAAGATAATTTCACTTCTTCCTTTCCTATCCTTATTCCTTTTCTTTCTCTTTTCTAATTGCTGTGGCTAGTGTTTCCAGAACTATATTGAATAAGAGTGGGGACAATAGATATTTTTGTCTTGTTCCTGATTTTAGAGTGAAAACTTTTAGTTTTTGTCCTTTTAGTATGATGTTGGTTGTTAGTTTGTCATAGATGGCTTTTATCAGATTGTGATAAAGATCAGCCATTCCAATTTTCTGTAGGGTTTTTATTATGAATGGGCATTGGACTTTGTCAAATGCTTTTTCTGCATCTCTTGAGATGCTCATACGATTTTTGTCCTTGGCTCTGTTAATACGGTATACTGCATTTATTGATTTGTGTATGTTGAACCATCCCTCCATCTCTGATGATTTACTGCATTCTTTTGCCAGTATCTTTTTTTTGTTGTTGTTGTTTTTTTTTGGTATTGGGGATCAAGCTCAGGTCCTTGTGCTTATGAAGCAAGCACGGTGCCACTGGGGTAAATCCCTGGCCCTGTTTGCCAGTATCTTATTGAGGAGTTTTGCATCTATGTTCATTAGAGAGTTTGGCCTTTAGTTCCTCTCTCTCTTTTTTTTTTTTGGTACCGGGGATTGAACTTGGGTCCTTGTGCTTGCACAGCAGGTGGTGAAACCACTGAGCTAAATCCCCAGCCCCTATAGTTCTCTTTTTTTTTTGGTCTATTAAATGTGGTTTGTTTGGGTTTTTTTGGTACCGGGGATTGAACTCGGGTCCTTGCGCTTGTGCAGCAGGCGGCAAAACCACTGAGCTAAATCCCAGGCCCCTGTAGTTCTCTTTTTTGATTGCATCCTTCTCTGGTTTTGGTAGTCAGGTAATGGTTGCTTCTAGGAATAAATTTGGGAGTATTGCTTCCCTTTCAATATCATTAAAGAATTTGAGAAGTAAGAGCATTGGGTCTTCTCTAAATTTCTTATAGAATTCAGCAGTGAATCCATCAGGGCTTGGGCTTGGGCTTTTCTTTGTTGGCAGGTTTTTAATTACATCTTAAATTTCATTGGCTGATATTGATTTATTTAGAATTCTTATAACTTCTTGATTCCACTTTGCTAATTCGTATATATCTAGGAATCAGTCCATTTCTTCTGTGTTTTGAATCCTTTTTTTATTCTTTAAAAAATATATATTTATAGCTTCATTTATGAATAAAGATTTCAATGTCTTATCTGTTTCTTGATAGGCCCGTTCCATTTATATAGTAAATCAGCTGATTTATTTTGATGATTTCAGTTTTTCATCCAAAAGTTCAACAATGGCTTCTTCATCTGCAGATTGAAGCAGTCTCTCAATTAGCTGATCCAGGCATTTCTTGCCACATAAAAATTCCTTAATGTCACGCATTTCATATGCTATCCTGTGGTCAGTGACTCTGTCCTGGGTGAAATTATATGTCCGAATTCTCTTTGACTGAGTCCTGGTTCCCACCTG